CCTGGGTATTTTGGTTATTGAGAAAAAGTCGTGTGAAGATTTTTTTAAGACATTTGACCCCTGTAACCTTGAAAGTTGGTTAAGGTCATTCATTTGAACAAACTTGTTAGGCCTTCAACCCAGCATGCTACAGGGCCAATATCAGTTCCCTGGGCCTTTTGATTATTGCGAAGTCGTTTTAACATTTTACGACAATTGACCCCTGTGACCTTGAAAGTGGGTCAAGTTCATTCATTTGAACAAACTTGGTAACCCTTCATCCCAGCATGCTACAGGCCCAATATCAGTACCCTGGGCCTTTTGATTATTGAGAAGTCGTTTGAACATTTTACGACAATTGACCCCTGTGACCTTGAAAGTGGGTCAAGTTCATTCATTTGAACAAACTTGGTAACCCTTCATCCCAGCATGCTACAGGCCCAATATCAGTACCCTGGGCATTTTGGTTATTGAGTAGAAGTTGTTTGAAGATTTTAACATATTTGACCCCTGTGATCTTGAAAGGGGGTCAAGTTCATTCATTTGAACAAACTTGGAAGTCCTTCATCCAAGCATGCTACAGGGCCAATTTCAGTACCCTGGGCCTTTTGGTTATTGAGAAGAAGTTGTTTAAAAGTAAAAAGTTGACACAGGACGGACGACAGACGGATGGGCGACGGACGCCGCACCATGCCATCCGAACAGCTGGTGACTGTACCTTTACAATTTGGTGATTACTCCATGTCATAAAACTATTGCGATTCATCATACTGCTGTTTCCTCCAGAAATGTTTCACAGATTGAAGTTACATCTTAGAACCAAATTAAGGTATGAATTACATCGATTTCCTATTAATTGACAAATCAGACACCAATATGAGAATACTACCTTTAATAAAGATCGGATGAGGTGATTACACATAACGTCTATTATAACATAGACATTTTCAGTATAAAATTTTAGACATAAATGTACTAATTCTGAATCAAATATGACAAATGTGTGAATTCAATTGTTTACATAATTCTGTCCGAGACAGATAAATAAGAGGTCCAAAGAGTCTGTATCACTCTCCTGGTGGAATGTAAAATTAGTCTCATTTAAAGTAATATTGCAACTATTTCTTCTTTTGGGTCTCAGCACCAAGCAGAACAATTAATTCCTTTTCTCTAAATAATATTTGATTCACAGGTTCCAATGACCAAAGATGTTTCAGGCAAATTTCTTTGAGATTATTGTTAATTTGTAGATGGTTACATTATTGAGAATCTATCTTTTCTATACCATGGCCATGGGAGTAAGTCCCTAGGGGTGGGGCCTTCCCCAGAGTAAATCATGGTGACATGATTGTATATGGTTATAGAATCAGGCCCGCAAGCATTTCAAGGTATGACTGCAGTATAAAGGAATCATTTGACCTTAAAAGTGGGTCAATGCCATTTATGCCAGAAACTTTGTATAACTCTATCCCAGGTACCAAACTGACCAAATATCAGGACTGACCAAATATCAGGACTCTGGGTCTTGTAGAACGGAAGCTCATGAAAATGAATTCTTAAGACTTTTTAATGACACTTGAGATTTGTAAAGCTTTTACCAATAACCCTTTAGGGCCCCATGTTAACAGCTCTCCTTACCCAGGGCTTCCCGTTAACCTTTGTCCTAAACACACTATATCACAAAAATATTTAAACTGACAATCTATATAACATTCTAAAGTTTCAACGCTCTAAAAAATTTCATAAGATAATGTTGCTTGATAATTTAATAGCATTGACCCCTGTGAAAATGAAAGTATAGTTCAAGGCCATATATGTGAGGAAAGTTTAAGCACTCCATTCCAAGTATTTACCAGCCAAATATTTGAAACATTTGGGCCTTACAGATTTTAAGAAGTAAATGTTGACAGACGCTGAACCATACTATAAGCTCATAGGTACTGTGTGCCAAAATGAGCTAAAATGGAACACATCTATATCAACAGTAGTTCTCTTTGCAGACTGAAATCCTTGTAAAGATGAAAAATAATCACGAAAAATAAGTAACCTGATATCTTAGATACATTAGTCAACTCATTAACATTACAATCACCGGTCATTGTTATAAAATACTAAATATACTAAATACAACATTGAGGAAAATGGTATAAATTGTAATGGCAAAGCCAAGAGATATAAAATGTAAAAGATTTAAAACAACTTTGTACATAAAATTTGATAATGTACTTCCTGATTGGGTACATAGTACTTATTTGTACTTTTTAAATAAAATAAAATGTAAATCTGAATAACACAAAAGTTAAAATACAGTTCTGTTTTAACAGGAATGCACATCACACACAGATCTAGAACGCTCACAAAACACAGCACTACAGATCACTGTCTTTCCAGTCGTCATCAGTAAGATGTTATACATGTATTACCAGACACAGATCTAAGGTTTCATATTTGGGTGAGAGATACATAATCAACCCCTCCTCATCTTGATTTCTCTCTCTTGATAGGGCGTAGTGGTGAAGTTTCAAATAAGAAAACTGTTATTTGTTTTAATCATAATTTTTAAAATTCAGTGTAAAAATACTTCAAGAACTAAAAAGTAAACGACAACTATCTAAACTGACTTCCATAGAACAAGCTTCAAATAGAACAAGCTTCAAATGGAACAAAAACATGTTTTAAAATGTACAGAATACACATCCTGAACATAAAAATCTATCGAGTGGGATGTGGTTAAGATTTGGTTTATACCGGTTTACAGACTCTACACTGTCTGTTAGAGATAGATCTCACATGTCACCATACACACTAACAAACTAAGCAGCACCCTACTTCCTGGTCTTGTACACAATTTGATTACATTTAAGAAAGTCTTTGAGTGTAATTAGCGTGCTTGATTGAATTCAAAGGATTGGATTTATTCAGGACTCAGCAGTATGGATAAAAAGTAAATGAATCTCTATCAAAACATCTTTTATCTCATTGAAAATGGAGTGAAAGTAAAACACATGGCTCGTCTGCCCTAATGGACAAGAGGTCTAGGGCCTTAATGGTTGTCTGACAATTGATAGCAGATATAGCTGCTATTGGCATGAAAAAAAATCAGATATATAAAATTGACACATTTGTACCTACTGTATAAAAATCATCAGCTCTATTATTCATTGCTGTTTGGTATTATACTGGTAAACCTCTATGATTTATAAAGCTTACTGAATAAATATTGTTCCGTCAATTTTTAAATTAGTTAAAAAGAGTTAAAATGGCCAAAAAGGGTCTAAGTAACCGTATTTCATTGATAGACAATAACATCAGCTCATAGCCACATGTCAGTGAAATTGGCTTAACAGTTTAGTAGGACTTCTCCACGTATAATTTGTTCATGAAAAAGGGCATAAATCTACCGAATATTGAAATGAAAAAAACAAATTTGCATTGTGAAAAACTTACATTCAAGAAAAGTGAAAACGTATGTGGGTTTTCTTTTTGGTACTCCTCCCATATTCGGCCAAAAATCGTGATTAACAAAGGTCAATATTATTTTTTTAATTACATGTCATTATTTTCAAATAAATTTAATTTTCATCGTGTCTAAACCTATCAACAAATAAAAGGTAAAGACTTAAAATTTCAAACTAGAGCAAGAACACTACCAATCAATTTGAGCACCTGAGGTCCTTCATAAACAAGAGGCCAAATGGGCCTGCATCGCTCACCTGGAATAAATTTCACAATTGTATTCTTAAAAGTAAACTAAAATAAAGCTACAGGAACATTCAAAACAAGGACATTAAGTTGAACAGAGTTTATAGCCTTCCATCCCAGCATGCTTCTGGGCAAATATCTTTACCCTGGACCTTTTGGTTGTTCAGAATAAGTTGATTCAAGGTTTTAAACATATTTGACCCCTGTGTCCTTGAATATGGGTGAAGGTGATTGGTTTGAACAAACTTGATCGCACTTATCCAAGCATCCCACTTGACAAATATCACCATCTCAGGGCTTTTGGTAATTGAGAAGAAGTTGTTTAAAGGTTTAAAACATATTTGACCCTGTGACCTTGAAAATGGGCGAAGGTCATTTGTTTAAATAAAGTTGGTAGCCCTTCATCCCAGCATGCTATTGGCCAAATATCAACATCTTGGGCCTTTTGGTTAGTGAGAAGAAGTTGTTTAAAGGTTTTAAACATATTTGACCCCTGTGACCTTGAATATAAGTCAAGGTCATTTGTTTGAACAAACTTGATAGCCCTTCATCCCAGCATGCTACTAGCCAGATATCATCATTCTGGTCCTTTTAAATATTTGACCCCTGTGCCCTTGAATATGGGTGAAGGTCATTTATTTGAGTAAACCTGGTAGCCCTTAATCCAAGTTTGCTTCTAGCCAAATATCATAACCCTAGGCCTTTTGGTTATTAGAAGAAGTTGTTTAAAATAAAACATTGACGCCGGACGCTGCACCACGGCATAAGCTCACTTGGCCCTTCAGGACAGGTAAGCTAAAAACTTGAGTAGTACTTTATTACATACAGAAGATAGTAAAACAATAAAGGGTATATTATGTTGCTATTTAAAATGTATAATATTGTGTATACTATTATGTCATCTGATCTCCAGCCCAAGATTCTATATTCAATGTAACTGGTTATATTTGAGAACAGGGTCTGAGCAGTAATCTATTTGAATTGGTAGGTTATTGCAGCATTACAGTTGACCACTCCATGTAACAACCTGAATTGTATTTCCTGGGTGTTATTGTATTTGAAAATACAGACAAATAAAAATAACATGTCTACAACAAAAACATATATAAGAAAAAATAATCTTTAGATATGGTTATTTCTGTAGTTATATAAGCAGGAAGATCTTAATACTCAATTGATGTAAATCTTAGTTCTATTTTTGATAAATCAGCGATTTTACAATAAAATGGTGTAGGAACATTTAAAATCATATTCTTTAAAAAAATGATAAACTGACAGTAACTGACAGTATTTCAAAATTTCTGCAGAAATTAGTTTATCAAATATTATGAATAAAATATATTATATGGATCCAATGTCGACGAAAAAAAAAAAAAATACAACAAAAATATGCAACTACAGCACAATGTCAAACTTAACTCCGGTCAAATCCAGGACCGCTTTCCTTTATATTGCCTTTAAAATGCTTGGACCAGAGTTGTTCATTTATGAAATAAGGGCAGACCTAGTAGTTTTACTGTATGTTGTTTTCTGGCGATCCTTGGAAACAGACTTTCAAGTTTTGCAGAAACATTTGCAGGTATGATCTGTCAAGTTTTAACTTTGAAACATTACATTTAGAAAATGGACAAACCATTTCGTCGAGATACACAAACCTGCCCCAAGTTTCTGTCAAAACTGCATCAATTGGCAACCTACAGCAGTTAGACTCTACAATGCAACACTTTGTAAACTTAAATAAAGTCGCCCCTGTGGTGTCCAGCTTAGACCAAGTCCACTGTACACTGATGAATACTAAATGTAGCAATTCAAATCAAACTGTACTACAGAATGTAGGACCAACAACACTGCAAACTATATAGAATAGATGAGGACTGACTAAAACTGTTCTGATATATTGTATAATGGTGAACCTGTTATAAACGGCTATTCTGAATATATACATGTATACTACAGATTTCTGAATCACAGATGTTGTATTGATACTGTGGATCACATTTAAATCACAAACTGTATAAATAACTCCTACAAAAACTTAATTGTAAAAATATACAGCAACATCTTCAACAATCACTAATAAAATGTAACTTTATATCAAAAATATCTTTAAACAAGGTAGGTTGGTCATAATTACCATGCCACTGGTAATTTACTCATTTATTCTCTAGTGTGCATTTACTACCTACAACATCTTTAAAAGAGCCGTCAAAAAAGGTGTTAAGTAAATGAGACTCTATGCGTGAAATTTCACGCAGCAGTTTCCTGAGTTTCATATTGTAAGGATGGTTATAATGACACAAAATTATAACAGTAAATGGCATCCCTACATTTAAATGACACTACAAGCAATATCTGGAATGTTGATAAATATTTCTAATGGAAAATGTCCATCATAATCATTTGCTTTACTTCTTGGTTATATACTAGAATAATGAAAACAGTACTAAGAAACAATCTATGGGCACACCTTCTGATCAAATTGTTAAATCTCTTCTAGCCTGTTCAAATGTTAACAATCAACTTTAGAAAAATACTAATACATTCTCAGGTAATCACTTATCACTGGATTCATTGTAACAATGGTAAAATTTGTGAGTTGACCACAAACAGATGTATACTTACTGATCACAGGAGTTAAGGGTTGACCACAAACAGATGTATACTTACTGATCACAGGAGTTAAGGGTTGACCACAAACAGATGTATACTTACTGATCACAGGAGTTAAGGGTTGACCACAAACAGATGTATACTTACTGATCACAGGAGTTAAGGGTTGCAGTAATGTAAAACACAATAAAAACATGAAAATGCTGTCAACAGTTTTTTTCTCCTTATACACTAGATATCAGTTACTTATACACTAGATATCAGTTACTTTTCATAACAAAAATTAATATATAATCTTACATTTGCAGACAGACTAAACTAGTATGAGACAATGAAATCCAAAAAGTCAGATCTATATAGTTAGATCACAACGTAAATCATTGTCTTAGGTCTAGAGATGTAAATCATTAACTTAGGGTTAGAGGAGATTTCCCCGCTGATAAATAGCAGTGATATTTAATTGAGTGGGTTAGTGATTATCAGGAAGGATTACTCTATTTTTACAAGGGACAAACAAATTGTGAAATTGTTGATTGTTACTGATGTGGCAGACTTTTTATCGTATTACTCATTAAATGATGTTTTTATTAATTTTCATATTAAATGTCTGATTACAAGATCAGTTTCCTGTGGAAGACACCAAAATGTCTTTTTTCACCCCAAAAAATTATCAACATTATTTGCACTATACACCATTACACTTCATTGGTAAAAAATAATAAAAATGTTTATATACTTAATTCACAGGTTAAAATACTGTAACAGTATAAAATATTCCATTCTTACAAGTTTAAAGGTAAAACTAATAAAAAAAGCAGACTAATAGATAGCAGGAGGTTTGTTAATCATCATCAAATTTCCACGTTAAATCCAGCAGTACTCTGATGAACAACCGTATATCCATGCTGACCTCCCTAATCGGGGTCGTGTTAAAAGCTTCCAACAAGTGTGCATTACCACAAATTAAATACAAAATTACATTTCATAAAAATACAAACTCATGAAAAATTCTACACTCCTTTTTTCTCAGATCTTTCGCGCTTGAAGAGGACCTTTTCCAGACCCATAAATGGGGCCTCAAATGCAAGGGAGATAACAAACGCAGCCATGAAGCTTAGACACAGGAATCCCAAGTAGTACATAATCTGGAAAACAAAACAACGTCACTCATTTAATAACTTGTTTCTTTTAGTTTAAATATTTTATTATCTTAAACACTAAAGGCATGTCAACATTGCACAAAAAACTGCCAGAAATGAAAGCTGTATTAAACATCATAGATAAGTTGTAATTAAACATCATAGATAAGTTGTAATTATACATCACAGATAAGTTGTAGCTTGAGATATTAGCTTCAGGAATACCCCTCCTTTCAGTTTTCGTACCAAGTTTGATGATCCCAAATTACCATGGAAAGGGCAGTATGTTCCCCGATTACTTACCATGGTAAAAATGTCAAAGTGTATGGGTGTTTGGTGGCTAAAGTAGAATGCAAACATGATGATTGGGTGTATCAGATAGCCACAGTAAGTCAGGCGACTGAGAGGGATGAAGGCCTTCCAGGACAGCAGGGTGTTCACATAGCCTGAAACACAATAAGATAGAGTGTCCACATGATCTTACACCATAACATGATCAGGTAGGAAAGTTACATAATGAGCAACACAATCAGGTAAGCTGTTCACAGGATCTGGACTGTAAAACAATAAAGAAGGGTGGTCACATTGTCTACACTAAAACACAGTACGGTAGTGTTAAGGTAGTGTTCACATTGTCTACACTAAAACACAGTACGGTAGTGTTAAGGTAGTGTCCACATTGTCTACACTAAAACACAATACAGTAGTGTTAAGGTAGTGTTCACATTGTTTACACTAAAACACAGTACAGTAGTGTTAAGGTAGTGTTCACATTGTTTACACTAAAACACAGTACAGTAGTGTTAAGGTAGTGTCCACATTGTCTACACTAAAACACAATACAGTAGTGTTAAGGTAGTGTTCACATTGTTTACACTAAAACACAGTACAGTAGTGTTAAGGTAGTGTTCACATTGTTTACACTAAAACACAGTACAGTAGTGTTAAGGTAGTGTCCACATTGTCTACACTAAAACACAATACAGTAGTGTTAAGGTAGTGTTCACATTGTCTACACTAAAACACAATACGGTAGTGTTAAGGTAGTGTTCACATTGTCTACACTAAAACACAATACGGTAGTGTTAAGGTAGTGTTCACATTGTCTACACTAAAACACAATACGGTAGTGTTAAGGTAGTGTTCACATTGTCTACACTAAAACACAATACGGTAGTGTTAAGGTAGTGTTCACATTGTCTACACTAAAACACAATACGGTAGTGTTAAGGTAGTGTTCACATTGTCTACACTAAAACACAATACGGTAGTGTTAAGGTAGTGTTCACATTGTCTACACTAAAACACAATACGGTAGTGTTAAGGTAGTGTTCACATTGTCTACACTAAAACACAATACGGTAGTGTTAAGGTAGTGTTCACATTGTCTACACTAAAACACAATACGGTAGTGTTAAGGTAGTGTTCACATTGTCTACACTAAAACACAATACGGTAGTGTTAAGGTAGTGTTCACATTGTCTACACTAAAACACAATACGGTAGTGTTAAGGTAGTGTTCACATTGTCTACACTAAAACACAATACGGTAGTGTTAAGGTAGTGTTCACATTGTCTACACTAAAACACAATACGGTAGTGTTAAGGTAGTGTTCACATTGTCTACACTAAAACACAATACGGTAGTGTTAAGGTAGTGTTCACATTGTCTACACTAAAACACAATACGGTAGTGTTAAGGTAGTGTTCACATTGTCTACACTAAAACACAATACGGTAGTGTTAAGGTAGTGTTCACATTGTCTACACTAAAACACAATACGGTAGTGTTAAGGTAGTGTTCACATTGTCTACACTAAAACACAATACGGTAGTGTTAAGGTAGTGTTCACATTGTCTACACTAAAACACAATACGGTAGTGTTAAGGTAGTGTTCACATTGTCTACACTAAAACACAATACGGTAGTGTTAAGGTAGTGTTCACATTGTCTACACTAAAACACAATACGGTAGTGTTAAGGTAGTGTTCACATTGTCTACACTAAAACACAATACGGTAGTGTTAAGGTAGTGTTCACATTGTCTACACTAAAACACAATACGGTAGTGTTAAGGTAGTGTTCACATTGTCTACACTAAAACACAATACGGTAGTGTTAAGGTAGTGTTCACATTGTCTACACTAAAACACAATACGGTAGTGTTAAGGTAGTGTTCACATTGTCTACACTAAAACACAATACGGTAGTGTTAAGGTAGTGTTCACATTGTCTACACTAAAACACAATACGGTAGTGTTAAGGTAGTGTTCACATTGTCTACACTAAAACACAATACGGTAGTGTTAAGGTAGTGTTCACATTGTCTACACTAAAACACAATACGGTAGTGTTAAGGTAGTGTTCACATTGTCTACACTAAAACACAATACGGTAGTGTTAAGGTAGTGTTCACATTGTCTACACTAAAACACAATACGGTAGTGTTAAGGTAGTGTTCACATTGTCTACACTAAAACACAATACGGTAGTGTTAAGGTAGTGTTCACATTGTCTACACTAAAACACAATACGGTAGTGTTAAGGTAGTGTTCACATTGTCTACACTAAAACACAATACGGTAGTGTTAAGGTAGTGTTCACATTGTCTACACTAAAACACAATACGGTAGTGTTAAGGTAGTGTTCACATTGTCTACACTAAAACACAATACGGTAGTGTTAAGGTAGTGTTCACATTGTCTACACTAAAACACAATACGGTAGTGTTAAGGTAGTGTTCACATTGTCTACACTAAAACACAATACGGTAGTGTTAAGGTAGTGTTCACATTGTCTACACTAAAACACAATACGGTAGTGTTAAGGTAGTGTTCACATTGTCTACACTAAAACACAATACGGTAGTGTTAAGGTAGTGTTCACATTGTCTACACTAAAACACAATACGGTAGTGTTAAGGTAGTGTTCACATTGTCTACACTAAAACACAATACGGTAGTGTAAAGGTAGTGTTCACATTGTCTACACTAAAACACAATACAGTAGTGTTAAGGTAGTGTTCACATTGTCTACACTAAAACACAATACGGTAGTGGTCACATTGTCTACACTAAAACACAATACGGTAGTGTTAAGGAATTGGTCACATTGCTGGTAATACAGAAAGGTCCCACTTCTCCATCTTGTAGCTCCATCTTACCTCCATTACCAGTGGCGCAGGCAAAGATCACCCAGCAGAGACTGGCTCCCCAGGCGATCCTGTTGGTTGTGTTGTATAATGCTGACACCTCTATACTCAATGGGTGGCCATTTACTGGATCATACAGGCCGTACACCACGGACATAGCCACTGCTGCTGCCACCAACCAACATACCAAGTTCACATACTGAAAAAACATGGCAATGAATGGGAAATTATTGGTACTGATGTTAACATATTATCGTATCCTAAATCTAAGGTTTCTACTCCTTGTACTACTACTTCTTGGTATCCTGGGATTTTTTCGTGACAAGATACAAAGCCTTTGTAAGATTCACCTTACAGATGATTCAGGTTAAATAGTCTGGAAACTGTTACTGAATCCTGCTTATGTGTGATCTTAGAGTAATGCTTTGATTAAAAATTAAAGATAACAAGAGTACCGCTGGGCGGAACAATATACGCCCGTCGAATGCCATATAGTGTTATATACTTTCTTACATTGAAATAAGATCTTCATCATTCTAAGAGTGGTTAGCTGACATGCTATAAAAAATGTAGGAGAAAATCGCCGGACAAAAAATCAAATACTGAAATGAACAAAGGGCAATCACTTTTGCAAAAAATTGTTGAATCAAAATTCTTTTAAGGGAGACACAACTTCATATCATGATTATAATGTATACCAAGTTTCAAAGATATCGGTCGAAAAATGTAGGATGAGATATTGCCGGCCAAACAAAAGTTTACGCCGGACGGACGGACAACCCCATACCATAATACTTCCGTCAAATTTGATAGGCGTATAAAAAGTAATTGTAAGGTAGAAAGTTTTCATGTTTTCACTCATCAGTATTTCATGTCCAGAACCAATCAAATAGCTCATCAAGCGATTTTCCTCTTTGGACAACCCCTGGGATAGGTCAGGATCTTACTTTCTGACACTATTTGATTTCAATTTCATTATAACTATTCCAACCAAGTTTGAATTATTTCTTGCTGAAAATGGACAAGATATAGTCAGAAGTGTTATTTCCCTATATAAACCAAGGAGAATAGGTGACCAAAGGGTAATATAACTAACAATTTATATAATGCACCTAAGGGCATTTCCATCCATAAAAGAAACTTAAATCCTGTACATCAGCCATTAACCCCTTTTTTGCGTTACCAAAAGTGTTATTTACCTATATAAACTATAGTAAACTTTACCAAAGGGAGATGGTAAACCATTTGAACCATTTTCCCCATATGGGCCCCACCCCTCAAGCCCCTGGGGATGGGGCAGGATCGTATTTTCTGATAACATCTAATTGCCAACTGGCACCATAATCATTCCAATCAAGTTTGAATAATTTCCTGATTAAAATGGACAAAATATAACCAAAAGTGTTATTTCCCTATATAAACTTAAGTTAACTTTACCCCATCCCCAAGCAAAAATGGATGGCCCTGGGTAATGAAATTGAAAAATAGATAAAGCCCCTGATGGAATTTTCATTCATGCACAGAATTTGATCGTAGTACATCTGCATCTGAAGAAGACTTTTGAAATATTGGTAAATTTTTCCTTTGAGGCCCTGCGTTAGCCCCTGGGATGGGGCAGGAACCCTAATTTTACAATGTTATACACTCTTCCACCAAAGATGATTCTGACCAAGTAAGAATAATTTCCTGCTGAAAATGAACAAAATATACCCAAAAGTGTTATTTCCCTACATAAACTATAGTCAAATGTACCCTCCCCAAGGGAGAATGGCTGGCCTGGGGTACTGAAATTTACATTTTAAAATTTAAACAAAGCCCCTGATTAACTGTCTTACTATCCATGCAGAGAAATGGACTGTAGTACCTCTGAGTCTGCATGGAGAGGAAGATTTTTGAAATATTGTCCCTTTTGGGCCACACCCTAGCCCCTTTGGTTGGGGCAGGGATCCTAATTTTACAATTTGTTACCATCTTCCTCAAAGGATAATTCTCACCAAGTAAGAATGATTTCCTACTGAAAATGGACAAAATATATCCAAAATTGTTATTTCCTAATATTAACTATAGTAAACTTTACTCCCTCCCCAAGGGAGAACAGAGGGCCCGGTCTAATTGACCTGAAAAATAACGACACTTTGTCAGAACCATGAGTTGTTCATTCCTAAAAGGTTTCAGTTTAATCGGCGCAAAAGAACTTGACTTTTAAGCTTGAAAAAGTTTTTTCAAAATGGCGACATTGGCAGCCATATTGGTTTCTGATGGACCCGAAAAATAACAACATTTTGTCAGGACCATGAGTCATTCATTCCTACAAGGTTCCAGTTAAATCGGCACATTAGAACTTGACTTTAAGTTTGAAATAATTTATTTCAACACTTGGTCAGGGAGATGTCAGTAACATTCACAGGAAATATAAATGAAATCCCTTCGACAGTATTTCAGCTTACCGTAAATTGAAAATGTAAAATGTTAACGGATGATGCACTCGGACAACGGACAACGGCAATAGCTAAAGCTCAGGTGACCTAAAAATAGTCTGGGATAATACAATAGTCTGGGATAAAACAATAGTCTGGGATAAAACAATAGTCTGGGGATAAAACAATAGTCTGGGATAATACAATAGTCTGGGATAAAACAACAGTCTGGGATAAAACAACAGTCTGAAGACCATAAAATAGCTATATATAGACTGGGGACTATGTAAGAGTCATGTATCTTACAAGAATTGAGAAGGATTTATATAGAACAAGAATCAACGCAATTAATAAAAATAGCAATTTAAAGACGTGAGACCAAAGAACGAGGATGAATCAGCATTGTTTGTAACATACCCGGTTGATGCGACAGCGGCAATCTGTCTTGTAAAGGATGTATCCAGTAATGATGCCCACAACGTACGTCCCCATACGACAGTAGGGCACTATGTAGTAGTCCATAAAGTAGTGCTGCAGACCACTGTAACACAATGTAGTACAGTTCTGTAGGGCAGAACAAAGCAAGGACAAAAAACTATTGTACAGGTGAGATGTAGTTTGGACATTGTAACAATTGTATATGTGAGATATAGTTTGGACACTGTAACAATTGTATATGTGAGATATAGTTTGGACATTGTAACAATTGTATAATAAGTATGAGAGATATAGTTTGGACATTGTAACAATTGTATACTTGCAGGTGAGAGAATGTTTGGACATGGTAACAATTGTATATGTGAGATATAGTTTGGACATTGTAACAATTGTATACTAAGTATGAGAGATATAGTTTGGACATTGTAACAATTGTATACTTGCAGGTGAGAGAATGTTTGGACATAGTAACAATAGTATACTAAGTATGTGAGATATAGTTTGGACATAGTAACAATTGTATACTAAGTATGTGAGATATAGTTTGGACATAGTAACAATTGTATACTAAGTATGTGAGATATAGTTTGGACATACAGTAACAATTGTATATGTGAGATATAGTTTGGACATTGTTTAACAATTGTATATGTGAGATATAGTTTGGACATAGTAACAATAGTATATTTGAGATATAGTTTGGACATTGTAACAATTGTATACTAAGTATGTGAGATATAGTTTGGACATAGTAACAATTGTATATGCGAGATATAGTTTGGACATAGTAACAATTGTATAGTAATTTATAACTTACGCTGGCGTCCCTCCTCCTCCAATCAATGTGGGAGGCATACCCTCAACACTGGAGATCACACCAGCGGTAATCAGTACAGCCAGGAGGAACACCAAACACACAATCAGGCCAATGGTGGGAACACTGGAATATAAATCATATTCAAAATAATGAGAACCACTGCCAAGTTGTTACATCACAGTCACATGTAAGATATCACATGTCTGTGAGGCATTCTGTGAACTGATGTGATAATGAAACATATTACCTAACTAAATCATTATTTTTTCAATGTAAATTGGGAAAAGGCCTGTTTGCATATTTGGGAAATTGTATCAACAAAAAAAAACTATAAATTTTCAAAAAATTATCTACATTACATGGATATGCAATTCAATATTTCAGTTTGAAAAAAAAAAAGTTTCTTTTTAAGAAAAAGAACTTTATCCATTAACTTAAAAATGATTCTTGAAAACAAAGACATTTACCCTGTTATCAGTATATATATGAGATATGTGGGTCTCAAGCCTAATATGGGACACAGGTGAACACCTGCATATATTTATAATGTGTTGGAAATATTGTCTGAACTTTGTACCATGAATTCCTGTAATCCAATTTATGTTTAAGATTATACAATAACATTATCCGGAGAACAATATAGGGTTTTAAGCTGAGAGTAAAGAGGTACATTAATGTGATATGGGTTGTATTACCCAGCCTTACTTACAAAAACAGAGGCACAAGCATCAGGGGACTGAGCACATAGAACTGCATGTCATTTGCCAGGTACCACGACCATCCCATACACTGAAAATACAGGACATGGATCTTATAATCTCACATTTCTACCATGACTGTCCCATACACTGTAAATACAGAACATTTTATTTCATCAAATTGTTTTTGTATGTGCATGCATGTACATCATCATACTTAAGTTTTTCACTGCATGGCAATTAAAAGTGTATACCCATCTTCACTTTCTATATTACAATATTTACTGCATCCTCATCTAAGTGTATAACCAGCCTCATTTCCTGAATTGCAATTAACCAGCCTTTATCTAACTATAAACAAAAATATGTCCATAAAAAAAACTCCGAGTCACTTAAAATTACTATGATATATCCACAGTAAGATCAGTTTGATGTCATTTGCAGTTCCTTGTCTGTTTAACAAATTTTGTCACATTATAGGCAGTAGGTGTTCTACATAACTCACCATCTTGTCTGCCCGTACGAAGTTGTTGATATACAATAGATTTGTCCACCAAGTGTCAGCACAAAAGTTTTGTTCTGAACCACCCTGCATCCACTTAGGGCCTTCAAACATATAGCGAAACAGGGGCACGTAGACCATCATCAGCAACATGTATGGCGGGGTCAATCTGTATAAACATAATCACTATCATCAGCAACATGTATGGCGGGGTCAATCTGTATAAACATAATCACTATCATCAGCAACATGTATGG